GTGTGTGTGTGTGTGTGTGTGTGTGTGTGTGTGTGTATGTGTGGGTTTGTGTGCTGGGCTAGTGCGAGAGTACGTGTGTTTAGGGATATTATTTATAGATTGTACCTCTTTGAGCAATTATATAACATCGTTTTGTAGATCGTGCAATATACGCACTATGGTATCTTTATAAACATACGTATATCTGAACTGCGCCTACATGGAAATAAACATCGGTGTACTATTTTGATGAAATAACATAGATACTATTACCAACTTTTAGTTTATCCATAATACTAAGTATTCTAACAGACCACAGAAACAATCGACATGTGATCAGACGGACATCGACTCAGACCAACTCGTGAATGAGTACACTTTGAAACACCCCTGCGTCAAGACACCCTTATGTTCACGAAAATAGACGTACTGCATGGAATTCCTCAAATTATTGTTCGTTAGTTATTCTACAACAAGTAATTATGATACATAAACTCTCAGATACAATAACTGATCCCATGCGTTCAGAGCGTTTGTCAAGTGGCAGGCACATAATAATCGATTCAAAAAAGCAACTTTGGTATGTGTGGTCGAGAAAAAGACAGTACGTACCCGGGTCGAGTTTGAACGAGATGGCCTCGACGGACGCAAATGCGGCAACAATACACAGAAACCTCGAAAGCATTATATAGTATCAACAGTACAATTGCATCTGGTGGTGTGTTGGTCGTCAATATTTGAATATATTGTATTGCACTTCGTCCAGTATCCAACAATTTTGAATATTCATTGCCTTCTTCTGAACTTAAACAAAATATTTCACATGAAATTTTTTCTTCTTCACAAATTTAAAAATATTTTATTTGTGTAGAGAAGAATAGGACATTCGGTGCATTTTATAGGCCCCAGGTGCATGGTCTCGTTTTCTGTCCCGACTCGTTATCTGTCCCGAATTGTGCTGACTGCTGTTTAAAATCACGCAATACCAGACAGACAGACAGACACATACTTGAGATCAAAATTGTATGCCACACAAACTGTGAACTCACGTAATGCTAGACAGACACATAGACGTGCTCGAGATCAAAATTGTACGCCATACAAACTGTAAACTCGCGCAATACCAAACAAACAAACAGATAATTGCTAGATATAAAAATTGTACACCACATAAACTGTAGCCTCATGTAATGCGAAGCAGACACATTGGCATGCTCACAATCAAAATTGTACGCCACGATAAACTGCAAACATGTGCAATGCTAAAGCGACACAGAGACATGTATACACCCATGAAATTTGTCTAACGATAAATCTACCACCTGACCTCACACAACCTCGCGCTAAATAAAATATACACATTCTACTCTTCCAAAAATTAGAAAAAGGTATATTCCAGGCTGCAAAATACTAAATATGATACAATAAACACACTTGAGTGATCTGTGGTGAAAGCCAATGTTTCCTTTCTAGTATAGATACACCTTATCACATACTGTTATTGGATCATTCAGTGCCTCTATTATGACTTTGCGATAAGAATAGTCTTTAGCTGTTCGATCGTTTCTATAAAAGAGTGCAGAGTATGGTTAAGCATCGCCGTCACAAAAGGACAGAAGTCACTCCACCGCTCACGCCAAACTTCTACTTTTTGTTGTTGTGCAACTAAATCTTGTTGGTTCTCTAGAAAGTCGCTAAAGCAAAGTCGATCCTTCTGTTCTATCTCGTCGCTCACCTTCTCTGCTCCAATGCTAAACCCATTTTGTTTTATGTATGTCCATTGATTTTACTCGGTGGCTCAGCTGCAATTGTATCAGGGTTTACAGCGGCTTCTTTTGACACATTTTTTACAATCCTCCAATTTGATAAATTTGTTCCCTATGCTCTTTAATGGTTTCAAAAGATACTATCAAATGCAATTCTATATCTTGCAATTTTTGATTTCTTATTTTACTATCGACTAGTATGTGAGCGAGAATGTGATTTTTGGGTTGTTCTCAACAGCCGTTATTTATACGTAAAACATTAACTAGTATTCCACCAATATCTATTATATATCTGTGCTAACCCACAACACCCTCGTGCGCTTGGCTTTCTATTTGCTATCTCTAATCGTAATTTCTAATCTAGATATCTCTAATTTCTATCCTGAGGCCCGGGAGTTTTTGGAGCCAAGAGTACAAAAACCCGCAGCTTTCAACTTTTGTACAGCTACGCCGTAAAACCAAAAAAAAAATATCGTGTTGTTTTTTTTATACTGTGAGGTTTATGTAGTACGTGCGCACAGGATGTACCAGTTCCGTGTGATAAAGGAATCATCGCACGCCTTCGGCGAGAACACTTGTTGTTTGCGTGTTAAACGCCTTTGCAGTGTTGAGAGCTTTGACGTATGTGCACGCTATCTGTGCGTAATCGATATCCGGGAGTTGGTATTTGAAAGATTCGGTCTCTCAAGGCGATATTAACGCCTTAGAATAATTAAACGCGTAGGTAAAATCTAAGTATCGTGATAATTTCAAAGTAAATAACCGATATGAGTCTTTAGTAAAGTTAGGTTTGCCTCGTGAAAACAGCAATACTCTGAGGGATTATGAGGCTGAAACATTGCCTATGTATAATCCTCTCAGTACTGTTTTCGCCGAAGGGATTTTATTTAGTGTTTCGTTGTCGCTCTATTAGAAACTATGGTATGTTCCGTTGGGGCGAATCCGAGAGACTCATAAAATCCTATCTTTAGAAAAAAAATAGTAAAAAGAAAAAGAAAATACTCTTGATGTCTATTGTTATTAACTTAACCAATAACTTTCCACTTATCAAGAAATACCGACTTAGCCTTCATCAGACTGGCACATCTGGTTGGCTGATCGGAGGATAAACTTGGTAACGTTAATAGTCCCTAGAAACCTATATTCGGTTGAGCCATCTCGCTACCGAAGTATTCAGATATATATAAATTTGGAAAGTAAATATAGTTCTATTAATAGAAGTAGACCAACTCTTATGTTTGGTATTTACTGGGACCTTTTAATGGCCTTGTCCAAATATCTGATATGTAAAATGGAAAAGGTATTAATTAATAAAACCTTTAACCCCCGTTTAGGAAACATAAATTCCTTGTACTATTAAGAGTACGTTTTTAGTATACGTACTGGTTAAGAGTACGTTTATAACATAGAATCTAATGTGGAGGCCCGGCTATTACATAATGATCTTCATCTCGCGGTCAGATAATCCAGATTTTTTTCGAGGGTAATAACCCACTGATGCGCAAGGAGTGGCCGGAGTATAGTTTGAGATCCAAACCTGTTCAGCCTTAACCAAGTGCTTGAGCTTGCGCGACCATTCCGATTTCGTAACTGCTACGTTGTTAAGTGAAGGTGGCTGCCAGTATACCGGGGCCCCACGTGTGAGAGAAAAACTCAAGTAGCACCCCGAGCCTAGTGAATTGGTAAACACAAATGAAGACTCAGTTCGGTTCTCTCATACTGATGTCTTTTCCTAGCTGACAAAACCGTACTTGAGAAGAGGTCTATTGTATCATTTAACTCGTAGCTTTCAGCTACTCTCCATATTTTATATTTTTTTACTATATTCTTATAGATGATAAGTCAACAGGATTAGTTTAACAAACAGCCATCATCACAGACAACAAGGGCTGAGGCTGGTTGTAGCATCTAGGGACCAGATTATCAAAAAGCCAATCCAAATCCCAAATCCCATATTAATCAAATACTGAGTTTTGGAATTAGGATTGGAATATTTCTGATATTAGAGCGATCATAAATATTAGCGGTAGAACTGGTAAACTATACCGGGACTCCCGTGTGTGAGAGAAACACTCAAGTAAATCTGAGGCTAGTGAAAACACAAATAAAGTCTCAGTTCAGTTCTCTCAGACTAGGAACTTTTCCTAGCTGAGATAACTGTACTGGTCTATTGTATTCTCTTGCCTCGTATCTTCCAGCTACTATCCATACTCTACATGTTTAACAATATCCTTACCTAGATAAGTCAACCAGAATTCTAGCATAAGAGAATAGGTTCAAGAGAAGAAACAGAAGACACCCCTGACATAAAGAACTTCTAAAAAGCAAAAAAGACTTTATTATTAAAAGAAAGAAGCCAAAGAGAAGCAAGTAGATCCTGAAAAAAGAAAAGGTCTTCAACGGTAGGACAAGAGGACACCTTGGAACTCAAAGGAGCAGGAGAAAGAAGAATATGACCGCAGCACAGCGTCTGAGGAAAAGAGAAAAGTGTTTCAAGTGTTTCCAGAAGTAGGCTGAACAATTATTGGAGTGTGAAAAAGTTGTGTACCAAGGAGTGTCTCAGTGAGTGCAGAAGTAAGAAAAGTGTCACATTGATTAATGCATCAATGTTGGGGATTTTAAGTAGTTTTCGAACAAGGAAATATACTCAACCCTAGAGAACCGGCACGATAATGCACAATACCAAGGAGATACAGTCGTAAGCATTACACCTAGTAAAATACAACTGTGGTCAGAATACAAGTACTTATATTTATTTGATTATTTTAGGTTTATTACAAGTTTTACAGTTTATCAGAATAATCTGATAAACTGGGTTTTAGGGTTTTGCTGGTTTTACAGCACATGACTAATGACTCATTTAAGAGTCAGTCATTTTAGGATTACTGTTTATAATTACTAATAAATGAACAACGTCCCCCTCCCTGAGGAGGGAGAACGTTGAGATACAGTTATCTCGCGTATACTTACTACATTTTTAACTTACCATAGAAGTTGTTAGTTTATTAGTAATTACAGAGAAAGCTACAGAATATGAATTAGTCAGTAGCTGGCACATATTTTTTTGTTATAAGTATAACAATTGAAAAGACAATGCGAACGGAGAATGTCGCATCAAAATGAACGATTTAGATTATCCGATCGTTGGTTTAACGACGTGTTGACGACGAGGATGAAGAAAGAATCTACTAATACGAGTGAACCCGAAGAGCGAACATTCCAATCAAGCAGAACATTAACCAGGGTCAACAAGGAAAGTCTCACGACGATCAAATGACGAAATCAGACAATCAGTCAGAATCCACAGATAAGTAGACATGTGTGAGTACAGGTAGGAAGGTTGTTTTCAGTGTGAGACAGGTACAAATCGAATTGCAAGCTAATGAGCTTAAATTGTATTTAAGAAGTTGTTAGAAGAAAGTTCTTTAGGATCCACAGTAGTGTAGTAGAGATGGGAGATGTACATGGTTAGTACCGACTCGGTTAGTACGATGACGCAATGAATCAGCGGCATACTAGATTATTTTACAAAGATTTTCAGAATGGGATATTAGGAAGCATACAGAGACACAAGTAAGCACCTGTGAGTTATTAGGAGCATATAAGGGTGGGGGCGCACATAACACGAACGATGCAAGTAAATACAAGGTTAAATTGTGAAAATGATATGAGAACACACTCAAATCACTAGAACTTCCAGATAAATCAGGTCAACGGAGAGGATCAACAGTATGCACAGAAGGTGTGGTTGACGGCAGCTTAGTGTAGGAGTGCAATAACGAGCAATCGTTCTTAGATCAAGAAGCATATTCCAACAACCGCAACAGCACATGACAAGGACATCACGGGTAAGAAGAGTAAAAGAGGAGT